ACGCTTGCGAACGCTTTAACAACGATCGCGGGTCAACGATTGGACCCCTGGACCCCTACCTTTAAAACGAGAACCCTTCTGCTACGCATTCGGGAAAAGCAAGTACCACAGCAATGCCGTCGACAACGTCAAGTACAAAACTCAAGGTGCCGTTTGGCGCAGCGAAAATCATCAGCCCCGTGCTGCAGTATGCTACTGCCCTACGCTGTACCGCACGATGCTTCCTGGAACCTTCGGGAACCAGAATGTCTTCCAAGCTGTGGACGAGGCAATTGAACATCAAGTCCGCGACGTTCAAACAGCCGCCAAACGTGCCTTGCAAAGACGCCACGCTTGTTCTTTTCGCCCTCATTCCAAACTGCCCACTGCATATGCGCTCCCCAAGCGCAAAAACCGACTTCCAATCGGGGAGGCCCATGTTGTCCTTCGTGGATGCTTTCATGCGACCGCTGCTGGAGGCCACTGCCCGACTGCTATACCGACTTTGCGCCATTGCTTTCCCTTCGGCCTTTGCCAAGGGAAACGTGTATGACGTGTTGGCCAGAGTCCGCAACTTCTTGCAGGAAAGAACCGCTGAAACTTTGCATTGCCGCAATCAAGACCTCAGTGATTTTTTCACCAGCATTTCTGCTGCTCAACTCCAGCAGGCCTGGAATATTACGCGGGCATTCTATCGACAACGACAAGGCCTGGACATTCACACCGTTTTCACTGTTGATCTGGAAAGAGCTAAAGCCAGTCCTTCGCAGCTTCAGAGGAAGGCGCAGAGCCCGTGCCACCCGACAAGTCCGCATATGGGCTGGGGACATACCCACCATCATTTTGCATGCGCTTACCATGCAACACTTCAAGGTGTGCACCCGCGGGAATCGTCAAGCCCATGGCTCGCCCATGGGCTCACCGCTGTCACGGGCCCTGTGCGGCATGGTGGTGGCAGCGCAGGAAGAAATTTGGCGGCGCACGTTCCGGCAAACCTGCCTTGGCATGAACCGCAGCCTTCTTTGTGTTCGCTACGTCGACAATCGCCTATGGATCCCGGAACCGGCAATTGTCACCTTACCAGAGGTGTCCAGCTTTTTCTCAACAATCACTTGGTGGCGACATCGCCTTGGAAGATGAACCCGCTTTCGGCGTTGCGGGGTTCAAGCTGGGTTTGCAGAACCGGCGCATTTTGTACAACCGAGTGTGTCAAGCGCGGGACCTACCCAGCGTTAGGTCTGCTTCGCCTGAGAACGTACTTCTCAGTGGCAGTCTTGCAAGATCACAGACCATCAAGCAGCGCTCTTTCCAGAGGTGTACATGCTCATGGATTTTGAAGTATCTGTGGGAGCCCGCAAATAAACTGCGACTCCCCATCAACACAGTTGCTTTAATATCCAAGTTTTGGCGCCGCACTCTACGATACCCATACTTGCAAAATCTGACATTTGTGCACATGCAGGGTCCTTGTTTTGTCTTGCAGCATTGTTGTTGCCTTTTATTGGGCATGCAGGGTCCAAGGTGGCAGCAGCATGGATTCCCCGCCACACGATGGCGCACCTGCTCTTGCAGCAGACAGAACGCTGCGAGCGCATTTCCCGAGCACTTCTGGAAATTCTACAATTCTACAAGATGCCGAGCCCAGCAATGAAGCCGTGGAGGGAGGTAACACCCACGACTCCAGTATCCTTTCCATGGACAGCTCGTCTCGGGACATGCTAGCGGAATACATTGAGATCACCACCCATCAGCTTCAAGACCTACATGAAAGTCTCCAACGCTTGGAGCTCCTTCTGAGCATGGCTAACATGTAGCTAACACATGGCTGCAGGCATTGACAAAGCTTACAGGCGCTATTCATGCTGTGTCAATTTTTGCCAGGCTTGTTTTCTCGCCCCTGGCGCAGTGAGTCCAGGATCAAGCGCTTTAGCACTGGCTCAATTCCAGGTAGACAGGTGCAAACTTTGCCCCAGGATGTCCGTGGAAAGGGTGGGCAGCTTTCTCACCTGCCTTGAGCTTCTTTTGGATGTCACCGATTGGACACCCTCAGGCCTAGCAATGCACTTGGGCCGGCAGTCAGCTGGGAACAATTCGACCGGACATGCAGCGCAGATTACCGCTGACAAGCTCAGGGAGTGGTGTCACACGCTGGGCTTCCAACCCCAAATTCGTGTGATCCATGCAAAAAGTACTCCTGGACCGCTGCGCAATCTTGCTACCATCTGACCTTGCGGTCACAGGCTGGGCAGCACAGCCACAACGTATGGGTCATGCCGATGTTGGCCCTAGCAAAACGGAACATCAGCATCAATACCCGGGATGTCGCAAAGCTCAGTGGTCGCGTGGATAAGAAGTTCAACTGGCCCAAGTCCGCCGGTCTCGAGCGCATCTACATGGACATCGGACGTCTTCAGCATATGAGAGCACATCACATCATTGTCCCGGTCAATGTGCATTCTTGTCTCCGGATCAAACTTTCTTCTGTGCCGCGATAGCCATGCCGATGTGCTAGCTTGCTCCCATTTCAGGTAAACTGGCTCCAGCGTAGCACTTGTGTGTTTGTTTTCATTAAATTGAACAGATGCAAGCTTTGCCCATGAAGCGTAGTCGCTCCATGTAGCAGGAAGACGGCCAGATTGCCCTACAGCCTGCATGATCCAATAGTGCCAGTCGATGACTTCCTAGAAGCCTTTCTGTCGGCTTATTGGCCTTTCTGTTAAAAAAGCACGAATTTGCTGCAGCCCTGCTACAGAGCATGCGTGTATGTACACGCCTGCACATGACGACCGATTCGCACATACTGTCTTTTTCGATTGCACCACCGTTTCTGCTGCAGCCCTGTTTTCAAGGCATGTGTGTGTGTGCACGCCTGGACATGGCGATTTTTGAGTGAGAGAACCATCTTGCTGCAGAGGGGGCAGTGCATGCCTGACAGATCCTGACAGTCACTGCCCAACGAAGACACTGTCAATGCGTGGTGATATCTGGCCCGATCAGCCAGACATACCTGCTTTCGGAGTAGCCAGTGGGCCCCCTTGTGGCACTGGGGTAACCAACTCTAAAGTGAAGCTTCTCTGTCATTCTGTATGGTTTCCGTAGTCTGTCGTCGTTCGGTCCTGTCAGTAACTCGTCGCAGTCTATCGTGCCGTGCCAAAGTATGTGTCTGTACTGTTCTCGTTCATGAACACAGAGGAGTCACTTCCCATACTTGATGCAGGGGAATGTGGGGGAGCTCCGCCCAACCAAGCTCTCCTCCACATGCCAGGCAAGCGTACTTGCACGTATCTGCTCCTGGCCCCGGCATGGAGAGCTGGCGGATACACGTTGTCTTCGTTCTTCCATATCATTTTCGTTCTGCATCATTCCTTTGCGTCTGACGCAACGGGGCAGGTGCGTATGCCATTCCTTCTGTCTTGCATACAGTACTCGGAAATCGTCATCTCATTTTCGTGAACACAATGATCACCAACATTGTGTGGGTGGGGGCTGGTGGGGGTAGGGGTGGGGGTGGGAGTCGGTGTGTGCCTTTGCAAGCGCGTGTCGTTCTTGCGTGTCCTGTGCGCGTGCTGTGTGTCTTCATGTCCTCTGCGTGTGAGCGCTGCGTGTCTGCGTGTGTTTGTGTCATTTTGTGTCGGTTCTCACGTATCCTGTTTTTTTGCACGGTGTGCAGTGCGAGCGGGCGAGTGAAAGTGAAAACCAAAACCCCGGCACAATGACTTAAGAATGTGGTGAAAAATAACTTGATAGAATCATGTCATATCATGTCAATATTTCCACCCACATCCCATCCGCAGACTACTTTACACATTGCCAATGAAGGATTTGCCTTGCTTGTCGGCTCCCTGCGCCGGAGCCATGGCAAGGGAAACAGGCGTGGAGCCGAAATCTGAGCGGAGCACAGGAAACCAAGAGTTCCGGCACGCTCCCGACCCCATGCCCCACCTCTAGGCCGAACCGTCCTGGTTTGGGCAGAAGCGAAGGAACAAGCCGCATCTGGCTGCATGGATGTGTAAATTGAAGTGAAGGCCGTGGAACGGCACAGGCACCGTAAACTGAATCACGAGCACCTTTGAGTTACATTTGGTGCGGCCACCGCTACTGCCCACAGAAGAGGTGTCGTCACGGATACCTCACGACGTCTTCACATCCAACAACCAAACTTTGGAATGTAGCGTTAAACTCAGACAGGGGTGTGGCAGTTGCCCCTCTGTTTGGATCCAGTGTTTTTTCTGACTTTATCGCGACCAGTCACGTAGATTCACTCTCGGTTTTGCGGCCAGCTGAGGGAGTTTCTTCAGAGACCGCCTTCCAAGAAGCTGGTCTTGCAAGTTGCCTCAGACTGCGTCCAGTGTGTGGAATGGTCAGAGTATCATGCAGACTAGGAGGACAAAATGGTCCGATTCATGTCATGGCTAAGGTGGCACTTTACGACACATCTAGCCGGACATTGGGTGGTGACATTGCGGATTCTCGTTTGAAACGGGTCGCAGCATGTCGCAGCTGCAGCTAGCAGTCAGCAACCGTGAATTGGCGCTGCCCAGGTGGCGAGCGTTCAGTTCACGGACGACGACTTTCATGAAAATTCCATCGGAGGCACTGTGAGTTGGCAGCGTGGTGCTGCAACCACAGACTTTGGTGTTCTGCCCAAGTAAGCACACCTATTTCAACGGTTTCTTCTTGTTCGCTCGAAATGAGAATGACCGGAATATCCGGATGCCTTCGATGCCCTGGAATGAGGCTTTGTGTCGGAGTTCCAGCTGTACTTGGCAGAGGATGCTTTGGGGACCAACGAGCGGATGATCGACTCAGTGGGTGCGAGTCGGTCGTCCTACGAGATTACAAACGCCCCTAGGCATTGTTCAGATCTCACGGCAACTGCAGCGGCAGCGCATTGCTTGCCATTGTGTCCTGACGTTCAAAGGGTACTGCTGCCACAGAGCGCTTTCTCTTTGTTTATGCCGCCAACCCGAACGGCCGGGCTACACAGGGCACGTTCACAGGCCGTACTTAGGATTCAGACATCTTCATTGAAAGGTGTCGAGACGCATGTCAGAGTATGGTTGCTCCGCAGGCTTTCCGGATTGGTGGGTGACGCTTGGCATGGCTTTGCCACAAGAGCTAACAAAGGGTGATGTGTGCGATGGCGGCAAAGTTTCTGTAACGATCTTGCAATCAGCCAAGGAGCACAACCACAACGATGTCCTCCAGTTCAACCACATCCTCCGTGACCCATACTTCTACTTCTACGAGCTCCACCACGTCTTCCACAGCAACTTCGACCACATCCTCGTCTTCTTCAACAAGCACCACAAGCAGCACGACTTCGACATCATCCAGCACCACTACCTCTACCTCGACATCTTCCACATCATCGACAACCACCAGCACCAGCACCTCATCCACAAGCACACCATCCACGAGCAGCAGTACGTCATCAACTTCCTCAACCTCGTCGTCCTCGTCAAGCACGTCGTCCACTTCCACATCCAGTTCATCTACTTCCACCAGCAGCACCAGCACCTCATCTACGAGCACTTCATCCACGAGCAGCAGCACGACAACGACGACAACGACGTCAACATCTTCGTCAAGCTCGTCGTCCACGTCCACCTCAAGTTCATCAACGTCCACCAGCACCACCAGCACCTCATCTACAAGCACTTCATCCACAAGCAGCAGCACTACATCGACCTCGTCGACTTCAACATCTTCGTCAAGCACTTCGTCCACATCCACGTCCAGCTCATCTACTTCAACCAGCAGCACCAGCACCTCTTCTACGAGCACGTCATACACAAGCAGCAGCACTACATCGACCTCGTCGACTTCAATATCTTCGTCAAGCACTTCGTACACGTCCACCTCAAGCTCATCTACTTCCACCAGCAGCACCAGCAGCTCATCCACGAG